CAATAGCATTCGATACTTCGGTGTGTATATTAATAGTATAACTCTACCACGATGCAAAATGTCACTTATTCACGATATGCGTCTAGAAACTACCCCGAATCTAAAGCTAGGTTATCATACGGCCAGATTGCCACATTCCAGAATTTGAAACAGTCCACTACACAATGTCTACCGTTATAACTTCTGCCTTGTCTAGTCCCGCAACTACTATGTCTCTCGTCTCTGGCTCGAGACCATCAATCTGCGGTGTATGAAGACCGAGTTGTAGAAATCCGATGCGCTCAAACACCATCGCATCCTTATGTGGCAAGGCCCTCAAAATCAAACATATATCTATGTTATGTTCGACTAGTCGAATCATTCTCAAACAAAAAACGGCAGCCCCTAGATGCACCTGATATCCCTATTCTGTCGTTTCTTCGATATTCTATCTTACCAGAGGTAAATTTGCATATTCTATTCATACTTCTTAATGAGAACTTTCAATTGAAAGATACCTACTTAGTATTAAATCGATTATTAGACAACTATCTCAATACAACATAAGTACTTTTAAAATGCTCAAGTTCTTCGAGCAAAGGAGCTCACAAAATGAATACGTAGGGCTGGCGACAATAACATTAATACGTTCATAATACCTTGATCGTTTAATTTTCTCAAACCGTCAGCCACATATAGGCATTCGTTGGTGAACTACAATACTTCGTCCCATTCTCATCCCCATCTAGGCCAAACCATCGAAAGCAGTCTACAGCGCTTCAACCCACTCCAATGCAACAGCCGGCTCGAGCCTCTTTGTGTAATCCCCATCGACGAAGGTGTTCCGCACAGTGCCATCCCGACCGACGAGAATGGTAGCCGGGACCGGGACCTCGTACGAATCGTCGCCGTTCCTCTTCAGGAGATCGTTCCCGATCTTCGCGAACACGGGGCGGAGCGTGTCCGGCTGCTTGAAGACGATTCCTAGCTGTCGCGCGTACTTGTTCCCCTCGTCCGTCAGGACCGGGAACTCGAGCTTCTCCTTCTCGGCTGTGGTTAGGGAGGTGTCCGGGAGCTCGGGCGAGATGGCGACGAGTGTGACGCCCTTGGCTTTGAAGTCCGCGAGCTTGGCCTGCAGGCCGTGAAGCGCGATGTTGCAGTATGGACACCATCCGCCGCGGTAGAAGGTGATGAGCAACGGTCCTTTGGCGAGCAGATCGGAGCTGGAGATGGTCTTGTTCAAAGAGTCTGGCAGGCTAAAGGCTGGTAGCTTCTGGCCGGGTTGGATTGCGCCATTGACGTCGAATGACTTCGCAAAGTCAAGTCTCGCAGCGGTGATGGGCCCCCTGATCTCTTCGGGAGCACCAGAGAATTGCTCTGTGACGGCGTTGAGTTGTTCTGAGATAGACATATTGCTGCTTGCGATTATTCTTGCTAATATGGTGGTAGAAAACTAGACTGGGTACTTACTTAGAGAGAAGAAGAAACTAGAGAACTTTGAAGCTTTTAAATATTTATTTCACCAAAGTTACCCATAGGTAGGAAAATTAGAAATCAAAATGTACCACTTCAATGATTCCATATTGTGAGGGCCATGTCGTTGGATCAGATCCAAAAGAGCAAGTGAGATTTGTCAATCCCAGTGACGGCATGCAACAGCCTGGCACCATTTGCCCAAAACGGATATCTAACCTGGGATGTTTTGTGTGGAGGTCCAATAAGATGCGAGTGGCTGTAGTCATCTCGTCAGAAAACCCGGAGCTTATTTTCGCTTATGTGATAGATGATAAGTCATTTTTACGCTGCTCGTATTAAGTTGTTCATCCACCAAACAAGACTCTTTGGCATTATGGACGGTAATCTAATATCTTGGATGATACAGCCATATGGTTCTGTAGCTAATGCAGAGGGAAAGCTCACGCAGTAGCTACAGAGGTGGATGAGTCAGATCGATCACGGATCAGCCAAGAGGGACAGCATATGTCGCTCGGTTTAGAAAATATACTCAGATGTCTTATACCTGGAGCTAGGCGGATGCCGTCAATATCGCGGTATCACTTATTAGCAACTACCTTGATAGAGACTTCAGTGGAGGACTTCGAATAGCTTAGATATCGCCATTGGCAGCCCCAGTCTAAGCGAGATGGACCCCCTGGTTTCTCAATGTTTACCTTGGTTGATCAATATTGGGCAATCTTATGAACGATTCTACAGAAATAAAGTTTACAAGGAATTCAATGATCACGGTAGATGCTTGAACGATAGCGTAGACTTTTCTATAGTATTTGCTACCATAAGTTCTAATATGCTCGCGAAAGCAGTGTTTATGTCGTCTCTGGAGCCTATCGCTGACGAAGGCGAAGCACCCGAAGGGGCTTGAAAGGTTGAGTTAGTAGTTACAGAGCGTTGAATAGATTATATTCCGAAGTTCCCAATTTCCTGTCATGTAAACGCTGAGTGTCAGTCATGCTCCCACATTCCCGCTTTTGATACAATAAACATGAACGATCGTAATACCAAAATCGGCTCGCTGCCAAAACAATCCAGTAACGCCATATTTAACCGTAGTATTTATGACCCCAAAAATGCAATTTCCTTTATGTCCGCTTCCACCTATATACATCTAGTAAGATGTATCGACAAATAAGTGCTCAGCTCATGAAGCTGTTGACGATAGTCACGGCTGTCGTGTACACCATGGCAATTGTTCCGATCACCATAAACACAATATCCCCAACTTGAGCCTGCCATGAATTTGCAATTCCTTTGTAATGCAAAAATGCTGGGTAGATGTAGACCAAAGGAACACAAGCAACCGATCCGATCAATGCGACGAACCTGTCCAAGTTCGATGCGCCCACTATTGAGATCCCGCTGCATAGAACGACCACCAAGGCCCTGAATGCATTCTTGATCCATTTCGTGCGCGTGCTCTTCTTACCAGAATGCGAACCGAAAATTCTACCTTCGATGATACGTATAGCGGGGAACAGCTGGACAGGAGTACCGACAAGGACCGCAAGTGAGTAGAGGAACTGGACCGCATTGACGAACTTGCTATCTTGGGGAAAGTTGTTGATGATTTCTATTTGGGTGGTTTCGCCAAAGGTAGCATAACAGAGAGCGCCGACTGCAGTGAACAGAATGGTGATGATGAACATGACAATAGCAAGGAGCCACTCGAATCGCCCCGGCTTTTTCATGGACGACTGTATCGGGAGAATGAGACCAATGCCTTCGAATGTAAAGATAGCCGCTCCGATGGTTAAGGTATATTTTGCTGGGTTGAAAAAAACGACACTCTCATGCATGCCATTCGCCGCGAGGTGGGCGAGGTCATACCAGTAGATGTACGCCACACCAAGCAAGATACATGCATCCGCAAGAATTGCAGCAGGACTGAGTTTAGCTATATTTCGGATGAATGAGAGAGGTATCAAAACGATGAGTTGTATGAGAATTAGAGTCATAGGCGACAATGGACTATTGCCGTGCCCTACAGCCTGAAGAAACGACGTCATGTTCTCGGCAACGAATACTATTCCGGCGCAAACGAAGCCCAACTGTGATAGAGTGATAGAGCTCAAGATCAGTGTGCGCATCTTGTTCCCTGCTATGGCATGACCGATCTCTCCATAACCATCGCCATACTTTGCCTTGCAAGCAAGGAGCAGATGGAAAGCCAGCATGGTAACCACGGATACTACCAGCATGGTTATTGAAGAGAATATAATGCCGCCATTGTTAAAGGCCTTCGGAAGAAACATGATGCCGGTTCCAACAAAAGCTTTTAATAGCGTGAAGAAGGTTCCTCTGGTGCTAGCCTTAGCCGAGCGTGGCATTCGCGAAGACTTACGACGGCCAAGAAGTGGCCTCGTCTCGGTTGCCGGCTCTTCTGCCTCCTCTTCTTCCGAGCCTGAGCCTGATAGCACTGCTTCATCGTCGGAATCGGCAAGGTCTTCTCCGGCGAAACTTCCGTAGAGGTCAAGGAATTCGACGAAATTCCTTGTAACGGGATTCCTGGCGGCCCAGATCTCCGGTTGTTGCCTTTGCCTTATGAAGGCTCTACGGAACCCTCCCGGGGCCAATTGGTCGCTAACAGTCAAACCGTCGGATTCATTGTCACCTGTCAGATCTTGAGGATGATGAAAGGTGGCGGCTCGCTTGTGCATCTTGACGCGAGCAGCTGTCTTGAAGAGATCTCGGTGTATGTCACCACCCTGAAGTTTTAGCGAGGATTCGCCTAAATCTGGGTCTCCTGCATCTGGGCCGGAGACCGATGCAGCAGCGGAAGTACTTGGTGCTCCATCAAATTCGGCGGAGTATCCAGGTGGGAGATGCTCTGAGACGACTTGAGCCTCATGATCTGACTGGTTGGACAGTGGAGAATGAGACATGTTGATGGTGATGGTATGCACAGCAGAAACGGTCTAGGTTGGGATGACTTAATTGTATTTGGTACCCAAGGTATACATGAAATATGTTATTGGAGCATTGGATTATTCATTAAACCAAAGAGTTGACGGAGTGAATGAATTGTCCGAAATTCTGATATTAAGCATCCTAGATCGGAATTGAAGACCTGTGTAATGGAGGGTGAACTTGTTGTACTAAGATAAAAAAAAAATGTTGATTAGGTGGTGGGTTATTATTTTCTTTTTGAGAATCGTTGAAAAGCTTGTCCTTGAACTTGCAAAAGACAGAAAACGGTGAAACTCTAAAAAAGCACTGGCGTCATATCGTCAGGCCGACGGGGCGATTAACGCGATACGATGCCAGGTGGCGCCCTATTACCGCCTGTTTTAGTGTAGCAGTGGTGCCGGTTTGTTGCCGGACTCACCGCTGTGGACCGTTATGGGACTGTATCCATTTATCATTGGTTGGCCAAGCATTTTGAGGGGACGTTAAGACCCAGTCAAAAAGTCTAGTGATCATGAGCCCTAGCTCCACCGTTTCGATATAGAGCATTTTCCTAAACCATTTTGTCACGAGAATCCAATCACCATTCTTAGAATGGCACATCTCGATTGGTCTAGTGGTCAGGATACCTGCTTGTCATTCGAACCTTATGTTCGCAGGTGGCCGGGGTTCGATTCCCCGATCGAGAGCTTATTTTTCTTTTTCATCTTCCCCTTATTGATTATCAACTTGAATTTTTGTTCATTTACTTTTTCTTTCTTTCTTTCACACTAAGACTTCTTAGTTCCTGGATCATATCGCACCCACTCACGCATTGCATTCTCAACTAATAATCACGTCGCGTTCGAGTCTAAGGCAATCTTTCTGGTAGCAAACTTATCAAATGCGGTGGTGCTATTTCTAACTTTCGGGGTCACGGATGATGATGATTGTCACGGTGAAATCTTCACTTAAGGAAGATCACTCATGACCACATACTACATCATATTGCATTTCCATCTGAAATTAGGCGTCAACGATTCTGTATGATGAAGAGAGCTCTCATGAGCCTCAAAGATAGCAACAGTCCAATACAGAAGAACACTCTAACCTGAGGATAGATTGTGGTTTGAGCAGTCTTATACAACAATCGATGATAATAACATTTAAAACAACGTACGACAAATATACAGTGTTATACGTGCTTTTCTTATCAAGTGCCTGGCCTTGGTCGGCGAGTTAAGCACATCCTTCGTATAGCTAACCTACCTGGTAGAACAAGACAGAATGTCTACTTACTGGGAATACTTTCATATTTCCATTCTTAGCCTTCCTAGATACACGACGTGAGATGCTAATCTAGGTAATGATTACGACATAATTGCAATGCGAGTGGTAGTATTTGGATTCCTCGTTGCAGCGGCCGAAGATCGCACGTCAATTTGAGGCTTACTAACTCCTGATTTGCAATCAAACATCAACACCGCCGGACGGACGAAAACCGATTACTTATGTTAGCACTCAGTGAAGGGAATAATAGCACAGCTACACTTGGGAGTATCGAGTATTTAACCATAGACAACATCCGTCCGATTTTTGAAAACAAAACAACTTCATTGCCTCTGCATGAAAACTACCATCCAGCAACGAACCTTTCTTGAGAGTACTTACCCCTGAGCCTTACCTATAAACGTTCCTACGTCAATCAATACAAATCCAAAATCATGCCTTCATACGTAATAACTGGAGTATCTCGTGGACTTGGCGTGAGTATGTACGAATGAATAATTTGATAGAAACGCTAACTTGTTAACTAGTTTGAATTCCTCCGTCAGCTATCCAAGGATCCATCAGCGGTTGTCATTGGACTTGCTCGAGACAAGGCTGCCACCGAAAAGAAAGTAGCTGCCAACATTGGACGTTCCAATATCCATATCCTTCATGGAGATATGGTGAACTATGAATCTTTGAAGGTTGTACAGCCCGTTATGTCTCTCCACGCCTCATAGTGTATTGACAACGTCCCTAGAAAGCGGCCGAGGATGTATCTAAGATCACTGGTGGAAGACTTGATTATCTCATCGCGAACGCCGCTATTATCTCTGATCTTACGGCTTTTAGCACTCTCCACGATCAGTAAGCCCCCCTTTCCTCAGTTACTTTACGCATCGCCGTATTGAACCCACAAGAACCAATAGCTGACATACCTCAATTATATAGTGTCGACGACCACGAGGCTCTAGAAGAAGACCTACTTTCGTCATATAAGACCAACGTTGTCGGGAACATCCATCTCTTCAACCTTTTTCTTCCGCTGATCCGCAAGGGTGAGGCCAAGAAGATTATCTCGATCTCAACAGGCATGGCCGACATTGACCTGGTCTCTAAGTTTGACATTGATACCAACGGGCCGTACGCAATGAGCAAGATCGCATTGAACCTGGCAGTCGCCAAGTACAGTGTAGAGTTCCGCAGTGAGGGAATCTTGTTCATGAGCATCTCGCCTGGCGTGGTAGACACGGGGAACCTTAAACCAGAGAAGCGTAAGTTTTGCCCCTGCTACCTCATTCAAACTTGAATTTCTACTATTTTCTTGTCGTCTTTGGAGTTTAGCTAATATGACTTGTGGCAAAGTATCCGAGAAGGATTTGAAGGGTCTTCACAAGATGCTGGCCTCGTTTGCACAGTACGCGCCTCACTTTAAGGGCCCCATGACGGAGGAGGAGTCCATTAGACAGGTTTTGAACGTCATCAATAACGCAAGTGTTGAGCGTGGGGATTCTGGTTCGTTCGTTTCTCACTTTGGGGACAAGCAATGGCTTTGAATATGATCGTCTGCGAGAATCCTGCATGAGCACTGGTTAGTTAAGTATTGCTAGTACACAACATAGTCCACGTCTCTGAGAACCAATCTCAACTCAATCAAATAGACTGTTCCTCAATTTGCTACATGATATTTAGGAATCCATCTTAATGCTATCTGGTTAGATAATCGTGCAGCCCCTAAGCTAGCTCCAGGATCGCTGGGCATTCTATTATCATTATTTTCACGTTAGTTTACGCAGGGCAGCTTCTAGATTCAGCGTAGGGAACCTTTCCTTGTATGTTAATAAATACAAACAATTCTCAATTGCTGTCTATCGTATGTGACATGTTGATTATTGATCAAGTTGAATCATATCCCAACATCAACTTTCTTAGAGGTCTAAGAAGGGGTCCCCCCCCTCTCGCAAAATTCTGAAGTGGTATCATGCCCTTCCAAGCCATCTCCTTCAGCCGCACATAAATACAAAGAAGCCAGTTGACTATTTCCTGATAAAATAATGATAATTAGCTTAGTCCTTTGTTATCGTAATGACCTATCCCAAGCCTCGCGGTATCAAGCCCAAATGACAAGTTTTCCTAGCCCAAAGTCATAAAGATATGTTAGGAATATCGAAATCATTTTGTTCACGCGCATATAAATAGCCAGGTAGCCATGTTGAACACACGAATATGCGTCCTAGCTTAGGCTTTACCGGCCAGCTTTTCTCTCCCGGCTTTCTCTTGATAATATATAAATTTGTTTTACTCTACACAACTCCTCAGCAGCTCAAGCAACTATGGGTCCGCCAACAGCAGACCAAAGCCGCAGTGGCTATGACACAACGCCAGTGACCAAAAGACCACCTCCAAAGAACCGAGGAATCGGGTTCCAGCGCTCCCTTGGGGAGTATTCTTTGCTTGCCGTGATGACGATTGGTGCTCTCGTAAGTCGTCATAGGTCTCATGATTTCTCATCACGTATCGTTCCTAACTGCTACTAAAGATTACCTTGATCATGTGGATTCCTATGGGCAGCGGGTAACCTAGGAAATTCGATTTTGATCTAGCTCAAGTTTCCTATTTAACTTAGACATAGCACATTGACATCTCGTGTCAGAGTTTAGGGGGTATTGTGTCGTGAGGAGATTCCTATCAAATACATCAATACCTTCTAGATTATGTTCATATAAAGGCAATAAATCCAGTTGGAAAAACAAGTTGCATGCAATATTATCAAAATAACTTCTATAATTAGGTATCTCATAATCTCGAATGGAGGCTAAAAAAGTATAATCTTTTGAACTGGTATGCCACTAAAGTCCAACCCATCATATCCTTCCTCGGGATTGGATCCCATCATGAACATTCCAAGCCGTTCGTATACATTATGATTCGAAGGCGAGGCACCAAGGAAAAGGAAGTATTGCGTGCCTGTGCCGTCCGTATTCTGATCATGCCCTAATAAGAATACAGATACCATAGTTCCATTCTCCAACTCTATAGGCCCTTGGTCGGCATTCCTATTTGACCTTCTCGCGGACCGTTTCAATAGGCCATTTGAACCTGTTAAACAAAAAGTCTCTAGCTGAATATCTGCCTCAAATGTCAAGTCTCTGCCACCGAGCAGAACATTGTAATTCGCGTAGATATTGTCAGTTGGGCCACGCAGTTCCACGTCTTGCATCAACCTCCCCTCCATTGTCAGGGACGATCCAGGTTCTACTCGGCCGAATGGATCCAAGCCCGATAATAGAATGTCTGAATTTACTAATCGTGCATCTTCATGCAAAATCGCGTCTTCCTCTGGAACATTGGGACCAGCTGTCAAGGTAATGATCGGACATTCTACGGACGCCCATGAGAAGCTCGGCGCCCTGTATTTAGACGGGATCGACGTGTCTGTGTCTTCGAAAAAAGGGTGAAAACTATGCCTCTCCCATAAAAGCTGGTAAATGAGATGATCTTTCCATAGTCCGGCGAGGTACTGCCATCCAGTCTGGTTGTGAACTAGTTGACTTATTCCAGATATTGCAGGGAACTTGTCTTCTGGGTACGTGAGTTGCCGTTGTGTGTAAATGCGCACAATTTTATCCCATTGCCTGAGTATCTCTGGTTGACTTTGCCCGGCGAGCATGATTCCTGATTGCTGGGCGTTTGGGATATGTTCGCATTCACAAGATCGGGTCGACCGGCAATGCCATTGAAGTTCATCCGTTGAATATGATATAGCTCTAGTCGGCAGTATTGATTCCTGTAACGTCCAACCTCTCGATATAGTAGGATCCGGTAGTACGGGATTACCAATCCCCGCGAATGAATCGAAATGATGGCCGTTCTTACACTCCGCTCTAGCTGCCAAGATGATGTTCGGCTCACCAGGGACACTGTATTGGAATGTTAGAGGCCGGATACAGTGGTTGAGGAAGGAAACATTTGCTGCATTAGATGAAGATGCGATAATTGTCAGATATGCTTCTTTGTATATCGAGCACATCTTAGCGGATTGTTCTTCCCAGTCCATCTTGCTATCTTGCACGATACAGAGTGCGTCAACCCAAAGGTAATTGAGTCCGAGCTTCTGAGTAATATGAGCCGCGTCTTGCACAGCTGTTGGTAGTTTTTCAAGGCTGAACCCTTGCATCAGCGACTGGATGTTTGAACTTTCAGTCTTTAAGACATTGCTTTTACCCCAGCAGTAGCTTAGAGCGACGTAGGGTTCCTGAAATTTATCAAAAGTTTCATAAAGCCTGGCTAACCCATCTCCAGATGGTCCAATATGAATTAAACGCCTGGGCGGTGACGATAAAATCTGTTTACAAGAATCATGCGTCTCGGTGCAGATCTTCAGACAAGTCTTCAGGTAGTTGAATGATTCTTTCGAATCTGGAAGCTTTATATCTGGCAA